GGCGTCGCTAGATCAAGTGGGGGAGATTGTCACGGACTAAACTTTGGGTCCATGGGCATTGGCGTAAAGGTTCACAGAAGGGGTTCAATTACGCAGACTTTGGCTTGTTGGGCATGGAGTTGGCCTGGTTCTTGGAGAATGCTTGCGGTCCGTAAAGGCTCGAGTTCGTGAAGGATCAGTCTGAGGCGTCCGAGAGAAGCGACGAGGTGTTACATGTTCGATGGGGGCAATTTTGTCGAGGCTCGTGGATTCGGACCGAGACATGTGTGAGCAATTTCTGTAGAGAATAATACAGAGTGTTGGGCTTGCCCAAACCATCAGACCTGGCCCGTTCCTTGGAAGATTCCAGAAATAATATTATATCCAATATTAAGGATTTATTATGGATAATGTTTTATTTGAATTCAAATACCTTAGAGATAGAGTTCTGTTAAGGTAGGATTCAATGTAAGCCGTCGATGTACTTTGATCTAGACCGTGGATCTTGAGGCCTCAACTATAAATAGAGAGCTCCTCCCCTCATTTGTAATCATTCACTTCATCATTATCTTCAGAGTAATAAAGGCATTTACTCTTACTCTCTCTGAGTTCTTTCTTTCTAGCTCTCTAGCTTGCAGCTTTCTAGCCTTGTCGGCTTGATCTCCTTTGTGCTTAAGCCTTGTGGCTTGTGTTACCGATCGGGAGGGCTGAGATAGCCTCGGGAGTGTTCTTTTCCGAGTTCTTTCAAAGTGCCAAAGTGATTCAATCTTGGTGACTTAGAAAGTTCCCACAACGCACGTGCTTCAGAGATCTGCTTCAACCCAGGTGGCTTGGATTAGCCCCGATTAAGTGTTATTTCCGCATTATTGTTTAACCCTGAGGGTTTGTTCGTCGCTTAGTGAGCCAGAGACTCACAAGGACGTGGATAAGGCTGACTTAGGCGCCATTTCACCTGGAAATCGTCTAAGTGCCGCACGAATCGTCTAGCAGAAGTCTAGCCCCGTGACACTATGGTAACCACCAGAAAAGTTTTCTTTCCAGTAAGCAGCTTAGATAATCAACTACACAATACAGGGATTTAATAAGATCTCCCCATAGGATACAATCAAATACCTTGCAACATTGAAGATCTTAGGTTCATCTATACATATTTCTATAAAACAAAGTTTACAGTCTGTATTTTTTGTTCCTACACGATAAAGAACCTCTAACTCATGCCAAAAAAGTGCATGCTGGTAGCATCAATTGAGAAATTTACCTGGCTCGAAAGAAGAGCAACACAAGGCTGTATGTTGAGCGATTGCTTCATAGTTCTATGATGTATTTTGAGGAGAGATAGACTGTGCCCAAATTGATGAAAGCAAGAGACTAATCTGGTGTTACTAAGCCGTAGGAATTGGCCTCCTGAGGTTTGACAAATAAAAAAAACTTCATGAAAAATATCACAAATTTGACAAGTGTCAAACAATCATGGGGTTTATCGTTTGAAACTTCATTTTACAAGCAGCTTTAGGCATATAGGTAAAGAGCAAGTCACTGCTGTCTGAATCAGGTCTTGTACTTCCTTACTATGTTAGTCAAACTCAGATGAGAATGTCTGTCACTGGTACGTGTCCGACTCCGACATGTGTATTTTCATTTTTATTCAGAATTTCCTTTATTTGGAGGATCCTTGGAAGATCATATCCATACTTATGTTTTGGATTTGTATTAGCCATGAATGAATAGTTGAGAAAATTTAGAGAGGAATTGTGAAATACTCACAGATTCTGTTTTTGAATTGCTCGGAGGATTTTCATCTGTTGCCAAAGATACCGGCGGACTTATTATAGTGTATGCTCTTGTGTAAGATGACGTTAATCTATTCAGATCCCATTTTGAATGTTTTCGAGTTGCTCCTCACTAGCAACAGTTTCTTTATTCTCTAGACAAGCATTCTCCCTTGAGAAGGATTTCTCTTTCTTTAGCTTCTCGAAAAGGGCAGCTGAAGAAGAAAAGATGGAGACAGTTCTCGAAAGCGTTCTTGGAATACCTGAGCCTTTCTTTGTTACTCCAGTAACAGGATGGTGAGGGAAACTGAAGATGGAACAAGAACAACAGAAAAGATACGGTGGGCTCCGATCCGTATCTCATGGTCAGGGTGGACAATAGCAGGGAGTAATTGATGGAACAAAGCCTCGGGAAATGCCTATGTGAACGAAGGAACTCCAAATAAAAAGGGTAAACTAAAAAAATGAGGGTATGATTTGGATAGGATGAATCAATATATGATCATTACCTTGTTTAGATAGGATGGATTTGGAATTGAGGCTATGATCTGAGCTGTGCGTAAATAACAATTGTAGTTCTTCTATAACTGTAATATTTGGGATATTCTCCAACATCACAGCCATAGCATCAAGAATTGGACCTGCATCACCAACTTGTTCACAAGAACAAAAAACATGAAAAAAAACTAAGTAATTGGCTTAGATGATCTAACCCGAGTTTTAGTAGCACATATACTCAAGAATGACAAAAGGGTCTCACCGTATGCTCCTTCGTAAATGCCTCATAACATCACTAACTGCACTGATTATTGCTACAGAAGCCTGAACTTTTGAATCTCTAGCAAGGTATAACTTCTACAATTTGAAGTTGCACTTCAGGTTGTTTGAGGACACTTTTGTGATCAATGCTTAACTGGTACCGACAGCAGAAGGTGTGCATTCTGTCCTGCAAACGCAAAGAAACAGAGAGTATCACTTTTCTCACCGTCTAAAGATCATATAATTTTTTAGGAAAAGCAAACAGAACATTAATCAGAAATAGATAATAGGAGGGGGACAGAAGAAAAAAGAGCACGAGTACCAGAACTATCTGTTAAATCTGCATTTCCCTTAAGACCGGCAAGGCAAGACCATTTTCAGCGGACCGTATCTTTCAAAATAATGACAACAAATTCGGGTTCGGATAAAGAAAGATTGCGGGAGATGGTACGTTTTTATGCTTTCAACCTTCAATTTTCTTGAAGTTTATGTATCCGATGCACGTATCCGACATATGGCTAGACAACGGTACGGGTGCCGGATCATCGAACCGAACTCTTGTAAAGGATTATATTCCTCCCAATGCAATCAGACATGCTTGTAATTGTTAGATTAAAATCTATAATTTTGGGCATATATAATATACAATGTTATCATAAAGTACGGCACAAAATTAAGTAACCAATTATTTTACACGTGTCATAAATATTAAAGTGTCATGGAATTAAAATGTAGAAACCTAAATTGTATTTATAATTGATGAGGGACAAAATATCTCTCTTTTTATAATATGACTCCAATGTTTTAAGAAAAATATTAGAGAAGACTTAGGGAAGGGTCTTTCTTTATAAAAGTTGTCAATATCTCTTTTTTTCCACTCTAATTATTATAATGCAAACATTTTTTGTATAAATATTTTTTTTTAAATTCTTTACTTTTCTCAACCGATTAAGTAAACAAGTACAGCTAAGAAGGGTGTTATTATTCATATTAATACATGACAATTTGAACTAAAATGGATTGAATTTTAATTTCTTTTATTTATACACTTTTATATGATAAATACTTTAACAATCTGATAATTTTTTATAAAAAGATGTATAAAATAATATAAACATAATTGGTACCTAGTCAATTACCCTGTATTTTAAAATTAAAATTTTGAGTTTGAAATCGTATTTAATTTAAAAATCCACTAAGTATGCATATTTAAAATTTAAAGAACCTAATGATCAAACCTAAAAATGGAGGCACTAATATTAATTTAAATTAATTTTAATCGATTATGAAAATCGAATAATTAATTCGGAACCTCGAGCAAAAGCAAGAACTAAATTAAGAATTCTTCTTAATTAAAAGTTTTGGGACCAAATTTAAAGGAGTCTAAATTTAAGGACTAAATCTAACAAAACAAGTGATCTATCAAGGACTAAAATAGAGGAATTTAACAAAACTCAAGCAGAGAATAAATACTTGAAATATAAATATTGCGTATAATTGCCATAATAAAAAACTAGAATAATAATATAGAAATTGAAGTACTAGAATATAAATAATAAAAAATAAAGACATAAAAGTAAAGGCTATAAATTAAAGTGCCAAAAAATAAATAACAAAAATAAAAGGATAGAAATATAAATACATAAAAGTAAAGGGCAGAAATATAAATGCATAAAATTAATGCTCCTTTACATATTTGGTCGCCATTTATGTCAGTTTTATTGGATCAAATTAAAAGGAAATTTATGTCATTTTTACATGATCAATTGAAAAGCAGAGTATGGAGTAGAAGCATTCAATGCTTGCAAGCTTCTTAGTCCTGTCCACATCACCTTAGTTACATCATAAGAAAGCCTTGTCAGTTTTCCTGCAAAGAGAATGCGATAATAATGGCCAAATGATTGTTTTTCGATTATTTTGAACTCGGGTAGTAAAGAATTGGGTGATATTGATTACCTTCCGGAATAAATCTATTTGGTATGAAGTGGAATGGATCAGCTGTTGAAGAAACTCATGCTGACAAAAAGGGACATTCATTATCAGACAACTGCAATTCTGATATTCTATATATGATATAAAAGCCTAAAGCAATTACGTAATTACAACCTCTTTTCTGCATATATATTCTTGAAATACTCCAATGCCCTACTTTAGGTCTTGCACAAAATACTGAAGATAGAAAACAAGTAAGCATTATTAACATGTTGGCAACAGAAAAGACGATATATTGTTGTAAAAGTGGATAAATGGAAAGGGTAGGAAGCACTCACCCCATTCACTCGAATGCGTGGGATGTGAGCAATCTTATGCCAATCGGCACCAATGTCTTTCCGACATCTTTCCGCCAAATAGGGACTTCGTTCTATAGATAAGACTTTCAAATTTGTGAGCAAAGAAAGCCAGCTCGGAATCTTGGCATTGCCCCTCCATCCATCCAAATAGAGCACCTTCAGATTAGGATGGGGCTGGAGGTCTTCAAGTGACTTCTCTTCATCATCTATAAGTGTAGCCCCGATCTAAACCCAATGACTCCAAATGTTGCTTCTCTTTCAAATTAGCAGCCCTGAACTCCTCTTTTGCATTTTTCACGAATCCCAAATTTTTTATCCATAGTAATCCCCTCAAATTGTTAAGCCCACCCAATTCACTTAGATCTGCAGCAGCAGCAGCAGCAGCAGCACTACGGGAACCACGTTCATCCACCACAAACATGCTTAACCTCTGAAGCGAAGTCAGCTTCCCAATTCCACGTGGCATATGAGTTAAACTCCAACAACCAATACATGAAAGATGGGTAAGATTCACCAATTTTTCAATCTTCTCTGGCAATTCTTTAAGCTTCAGACACAAATCAAGTTCCAGCACTTGCAAATTTAGTAACTTGCAAATACTCTTCGGGAGGATCTTAAGATCATTCCGAGAGAGATCAAGGTACCTCAGATGTTTCAACTTATGAATGGAGTGTGGAACTATATCAAGATCTAAACCCTCCAATTCTAACACACGCAAACACCTACAGTTTGAAATTATAAAATCCCAAGTTGCCTCGCTCATTTTTTCATATTTCTCGTTACGAAAGTGCAACAAAGTTCGTAACTTCCTTCCCTTGAACGAAGGATATATTTGAAAATCAATTGTTATATGACGACATATTTCATCAACCTCACCTGTATTTGAATTTGAGTCTAAAATACCACTCTCTCTCCCTGCAACTAATTCAGCAAGATCATGCATTAAATCATGCATTTTACATCCCATTCGCCCGTCAAAATATTCTATTATCTCTTGAAAGAAACTTCTTTCCGCTAAGTCTTTAAAATAATCCAACCCAATCTCTTCGAGAGATTGATTCGGCTCTGATTGCTTTACAAAGCCTTGTGCAATCCAAAGTTGAACAAGTGTTTGTACTTGGATTCTATAATCTTTTGGGTACAGTCTGCAATAAGCAAAGCAATGCTTCAAATGGGCTGGAAGATGGTCATAACTCAGCTTGAGTGTAGGCAAAATTTCACCATCTTTTTGAGATATTCTAGCAAGTTCATTATCTTTGAAAGAACGCCACTCTCTTTCAGTTTCCTTAATGGATAACGTACTAGCTATAGTCCTTATGACTAAGGGAACCCCACTGCACCTTTCCAAAATCTGCGTTCCTATATCCAAAAAGACTGGATTTGTTGAGTCCGCATCTCTTTGCTCAATGCTATTTTTTGAACAAAGACCAAGCGTCATCATCAGACAAACCTTTCAAAACATAGGGTTGGCATTTACTAGTAACCTTTGCTACTCTATGAGAGCGAGTAGTTACTATTATTCTGCTTCCTCTAGCCCCACCATCAGTAACTTCTTTAAGCTAAACCATTGTTCTCCCTCCTCGTTCCAAAATCATCCAAAACAAGCAAGTATTTTTTCCCATCAATTTCATCTCGAAGCTGTGTTTGCAATTGATCCATCTCGAGATTTTGATTGGGTGCTTGATTAGTCACGGATTTGATAATATTCGCTACTATTGTTTTTACATCAAAAACATCGGAAACACAAACCCACATCCTCAACTCAAAATGATCTTTAACCCTTTCATGATTATAGACAAACTGCGCCAACGCAGTCTTTCCCAAGCCTCCAATCCCCACGATTGGAACCATGATAACATTCTCTTCACTTTGAAACTCTTTGTCTTGCAAGAGTTCTAGAAGAGCTGCTTTATCATCTTCTCTCCCTATTATCTCATCTTTCCCCACAAAAGAGTGTGTCTGCTGCCTTCTTTTGGCCATGAAAGGAGTTTCCACAGGAAGATCACGTTCTACCAACTTTAACTCACTGGTCCGACCTTGAATGGAAGCAAATCTGGCCTTAATGGCCTTGATTTTACCACCCATTTTGAGGCCATAAGCAAACTGGTTTGTTCTTGAGAAGAAATCGCGTACCTCTTTCGTCAGCTTGTTCCCACTCATCAGATCCTTCCGCAAGGCTTCAGTATGTACATCATCCAGCAAGTCTTCCGCATCATACAGTGCATCTTTCAGCTCATGAAGCCAAACTTTGACAAGATTGCTGGTCACCGATCGCTCTTCTGCATCAAGAATCACATCTTGGATTATGATGACGGTGCGTTTGAGGTCGTCGAGTTCATCTTTGAAATTCCACCACAGTCCAATTTGAGAGAGAGCGATGGAGCTCAATTTAGTAATGAGCCGTGCGGCGATGTCGAAAGCAATTGCTTCTGCCATTGGTGGTTGAAACAGAAACGAAGGCAAAGTGTTAGGTTGTTTGCAAGAGGAGATGAAATGAGATGCAGGTGTTGATAATACATTAGTATATTATAGATTTTTGGTTGGAGTGGATGACCCACCAGCTAGGGAACGTGTGGTGTTTCTTTCTCCCACTATTAAATTGTTACAGCAAAGTAGGCCCTTAGGCCTCAGAAGACGACATAGAAGCTTTCAATGGTGCAAGCCAAGTCCTCCTTGTAGTCTCCATGATTAAAGCAAAGCAAAGCAGGGCCCTTCGGCCTCAAATGTCAAACGTTACGCGTTTTTTATTTAAAAGATCATGGCCATTCCAAGAAATTTCCAATCATTTACCATGGAATGTTCTTTTGTTTTGAAATCAACCGGTATTCTTTCAAAATAATGACATACCGAATTCGGGTTCGGATAAAGATCATATCAACACTATTCCAATGGTTGAGTCTAATGGCTATGGTTCAACCTTAGCATCATGGTGTCAAACAAAGATGCACAAACTTCAAAACCAGACAGCTAATGGAAAATGTTTTAGACAAGAAGATGACATAAGTTTCGAACAAATGTGTATGTCTTCTTTTGGCTCTTTCATTGAACATTACTTATTAGATGGTTGTAATTGTGAGGATTACTATGATTTAAAGTTATCAAAACCAATACATGGAAGACGGGTAACATTCACCAATTTTTCAATCTTTTTGGTAACTCTTCAAGAAGATAACAATAGTTGAGTTCAGCACTTTGCAAATTTTGTAACTTGCAAATACTCTTGGGAGGATCTAAAGATCTTCATTCCCAGAAAGATCAAGGTGTCTCAAATTTATGAATGGAGCGGGGAACAAGATTTACATGATCCAAGTCCAACACACACAATATATACATTTAGATATTATTAAATTTCATGTTGCCTCGCTCATATTTTGATTTTTCTGGTTAGCAAATTGTAACAATGATGATAGTGTATTAATTTATGATTGTCGGAATTAAATTAAATTGATGAAATATGTTAAAATTTAATTATTTAATTAGTTGTACAAACCAATCTATCAAATTTACTCACCTGAAGAGGGCACTACTCGAACTCACATCTCCAAGAGTATGTCGGTGTCATCTGAAACATGTTCAATTTGGTCACTGTTTATGTCAAATTTATTGGATCAATCGAAAGTTACAAGGAAATTTATGTCAATTTATATGATCAATTGAAAAGCAGAGCATGGAGTAGAAGCATGTTGAAATAAGCAATCCACAAGACTAGCATTGCAAGCTTCTTTGTCGTGTCCACATCACATTAGTTACATCATAAGAAAGCCTTGTCAATTTTCCTGCAAAGAAAATGCGATAATAATGGCCAAATGATTAGTGATACTTGTTTTTTTTGATTATTTTGAACTCAAGTAGTAAAGAATTGGGTGATATTGATTACCTTCCGGAAACATGATCTGCTTATAGTTAACATGCCTCAAAACATCGTCACCACAAGATTTTGAGATCAAAATGAGTCCGGAGACGGTGTTTTTAGACATTGTGGCTTGGTGTTTTTACTGGTAGTGAATTGTGATACTACTTGTTGTACTGTAAGTTGTGATCAGAGCTGTAACGAGTAACGCGCAAGATAAAGGGAAGAACATAACAATGAACACCAAGGGTTGTTTACGCAGTTCGGTGTCACACCTACATCTGCAGGGCCTTGCCCAGAAAAACAAACATCACTAATGAACATCACTAAGGAAATTTATGTCATTTTTACATGATGAATTGAAAAGCATAGCATAGAGTAGAACCATGTTGAAAATAAGCAATATGCAAGACTAGCATTGCAAGCTTCTTAGTCCTGTCCACATCATCTTAGTTACATCATAAGAAAGCCTTGTGATGAGTGTTCTTAATTGATATATTTTCTGGTTAATTCTTTGATCTTACAGATTTATTACTTCTGATTTGGCTTTATTGTGCTTATTTTCGTGCAGGACCTTATTTTCCAGAATTAACAGTAAAGAGGGCGCATTCTGTATTTTTTTATTATTTGGTCACGGCTGGAGACATGGGCACGACTCTGGGCATGACACCTTCCGACGTGGCAGTTTCTAGAAGGTCCAGTTAGCAGCGGTTTTCTAGAAGATCTAGTCAACATCTTCTGGAAGGTGGACGGACAGAGATATCTTAGGAGATTTATTTTTAAATTTTAAAGTTTAAATTTGAAAAAACATTTGGAATTATCTTTAGAATTATTTTTCTTTTAATTTCTATGTTTATCTCTAGTATTTTAGAAGCTATAAATACCCCCTTGGGGTAAGGCTCAAACACACTTGTGTTTATTTGGTTGTAATTTTCGATTCTTTGGTTTTACAAAAGCTTTTCTTAGTTTTCATTTTTATTTTATTTCAAGTTTTATTTTTAAACATGCTAAGTATGACTTTTGTCACGCTTAGCTAATTTTCTCATAAGCCGAAAGGCTAAGCTATAACTCAATTCAATATGTGAGAATTGAAAATCACTTAACATCTTCAGGATGTCATTCTCAGTGTTGAAAACATTTTTGTATTTCGATATAACAAATTAGTTTAAATGAATTTTAAGATTTTACAAATGATTTTCTAAATATATTCGATTCAATTAATCGAATATCAAATTATTACTCCAAGTCTTTTAAGATCAATTTCAAACCTTACTAAATGTGTAAAATTGTATTTTATACTTAGTATATTTTTTAAACAAATTTCACAAAGTATTTTGAACCAAAATCAAGCCTAAAATCAATTTTTCAGAGTGATACACCGATGCACCAATCCATGCATCGATGCACCATGAATTAAATTGAACATCGAATGCATTTCATGCATTGATGCACATACCATGCACCGATGCACTGAGGATTTTATGAAAACATCGAATGCATTTGATGCATCGATGCACCAGCCATGCATCGATGCACTCTGGCTATTTTGAAACATCGAATGCACTTGATGCATCGATGTACTCTTAGTGCACCGATGCACTAAGGGTCCAACGGTCAAAATATTTGAATTTTACACTGATGCACCATGGGTATGCATCGATGCACTGACGCTCCCAACTAATTTTATTAATTGTTTTCACACTTAAACGGCTCTATTGACTCCACTAATCATCCCCAACGTTCAGAAGTGATTCAAGGTGTATTTAAACAAGCTTAGAAGCCATTGATCAAAATAAGAAACATCAATCAACTAGAATCAAGAGAGAATCAAAGAGAAAGCATCAAACCTCAAGTTTGAGCATTTCAAGCCTATTTTTCATTCAATATTCATTTTGCTTTCAAGAAAACTTATTGTGCTCAATTGTATATATTCTTGAGTGTTCTTTCTTTGTTCTAGAATTGTGCAAACATATTTGCCTTGTGAGGTTTTTCTTGTAAGTTTGCAAATTTGTAATCTTCTCTTTGAGAAAAGAGTGTTCTAAAAAATTGGGGTATATTCTTGAGGGTGTTGTAAGGTTATCTCTTTGGCCTCAAAAGAAAGAACAAATTAGTAAATTTGTTGGAAAATCCTTAGTGTGGATAGCTAAGGTAGTGGACATAGACTTTGGTTGATAAAGTCGAACCACTCTAAATCGTTGTGCAAATCTTTTCAATTTTCTGCAAAATCTTCTATCAAAATTTTAATTGCCAATTCACCCCCCTCTTGGCCAATTCCATCGATCGATTAGCTCAACAATTGGTATCATAGCCTCATTCATTTGAAGGTTTAATCACCTCTTGAGTCGATTCGGGAAGAGTTACATCGATTATCAAGTCATCAATGGCCTCCGCTTTAAATTTCGACTCCGGTCTCGATTCGATGCCCGTCAACAAGCCTCATTTCTTCAATGGAGTAAACAATGCCTATTAGAAAAATATGATGATGTACTTCATTCAAGCAAGTGAAATGAGAGCATGGAATGCCGTAGAAGAAGGATACATCAAGCCTCTCACTCATCCGAGATTGTGGAGTGAAGGAGAGACAAGAA